TGTCAATAAACGGGTGGTAAAGAGTTTACCAAACTTGTTGCATACTATACTTTTTCGACAACCGTCACAAAAAAGTCACAATTTAACAAATTTAGAATAATAACACATTATCGGAATACTAAATTGCGTACCATTTAAACAAAATATTTACTAATTGCCATTAAATCTATTCGTTTAATGAATGTCATATAAACAAATATAAACAACGGAATAAACCCGATTATAAAAAAGTTATGTTTATTTACCTTTTTGCAATTGATCATTAAGTAGTTTATTTAAAGAAAAATACTGTAATTGGAAGAAAAATCATCCAAGGATAGAGCTATCAAATATTGCTTTTAAGATGATTAAATTTTCAAGGTCCTATAAGCAAGAAAAAGCAGGTCTTGACGAGGATCAATAAGTCTATGCTTTTTACAAAACTTCTGGATTCCTCCTGCGTTGGTTTTTGCTTAGTCGAAATTGCTGACGTTTCGCAGAGCTGAAGAAGTCAACAGGATGATTGGCGAAACGTTAGCAATTTCGACTAAGCACAAACCGACGCAGGAGGAATCCAGCCTGTGGAAGTTTCTTTAAAAAAAAATTATCAATAAGTTTATTTTTTTTAGTTAATGTTTTTATTAAGTGTTTGCAGTTAATGAAGTTTTTTTTTAATTTGTTTCCAGTATTTTCTAATATTTTTTAACTTTTTTTGTTGGTTCACTTGAAAAACGATACTAGTCCACTACTTACATCAAAAGGTGTTGTTTTCCTGATATTTGATTATTTGTAAATGCGTATTAGATAAAAAAAAATAAATACAGCGAGAGTAAATATATTTATTTTTTCAGTTTGTACGGCAAATACGGAGTTTTAAGGGATTTTCACTTAAAAATTCGTTCACCAAATAACTCAATCTTCCAGCCGGCGCGGGCGACGCATGTACCTCTTCCTTCCGTAGTCATTTACACAGTTCCGGTAGTAGCTTTTCTCTCCTAACCTCATGTCCCTGTCAAACCGGTAGTAGCCGCAATTAAGTACGCACTCCGTGAAATAGGTTTGATTGTAGCGGTCACAAATCGAATAGTAAATGTCCCGCCGGTATATCAGATTACCGTCTTCGAACCTGATATCTCGACGCACGCGGGCATTTACTAAGAGCGATCCCACGATTAACAAGAACACTGCCCGGATCATGATGAACATCTGTTATATTTCAGCTCCAGTATGAACGGATTTTGAAATGCAAAACGCGTCTCAGTTACATTTTAAAACTTTCGAAATAAACAGGGATAGGTCACAACGTTGTTATCTAATGATGTATCTAATATCTAATGCCCAAGAAATGTTTACACCACTTTTGCGTGTTTTCTCGATTATAAGACCTCCGAACGTTAACAAGGGTGTATTTTGGAGTACGGCCTTATTGGAAAGGCCTTTACCCTCAAAAAACCGAGCAATCAACCAATACAAAGCCGATTTATAGGGCTTTATAGGTACTGGAATTATAATCTCGATCCAGCAGACTTCCTTTTAAAAAATATTTATTTGCTGAAAATGGACACAAAATAACTTAATGGCATATTATGCAAGAAGTGCGGTAAACGGCATTTGACCCACGAGTTTGTTTGACACGAGCGGAGTGTATCGGAGTGCAGCAATAAACGAGTGATAAAGAGTTTACCAACCTTGTTGCATGCAAAAAATCACAATTTAATAAATTAAAAATAATAACAGATTATCGAAATACTAAATTACTTACCATCTAAACAAAATATTTACTGATTGCCATTAAACCTATTCGTATATCGTTCCGATCGCTCTGCTATTGTTATCTCTTTTTAACAGAGAGAGGTGTATTTTTGGATGTCATATAAACAACGGAATAAACCCAAGTTATGTTTATTTACCTTTTTGCAATTGATCATTAAGTAGTTTATTTAAAGAAAAAGACTGTAATTGGAAGAAAAATCATCCAAGGATAGAGCTATCAAATATTGCTTTTAAGAGGATTAAATTTTCATGATCGTATAAGCAAGAAAAAGCAGGTCCTAACCTTCAATTTTGTTCTGTTTATACTGATGAGCCATGGATATTTGAAAATCGTACAATTGATCTGGCAAGATATTAATATAAAAACTGTAAAGTTCATGCGGTATGTAAAATTTCTGTGGGAAACTTAGATGATAAATGTCACTTTACTTACCGACTAGTCCACTATATTTTAATTGTAGCTTATATCAGGTAGTATTTAAATTGTCCGATATATTACATAACGTTTTCTGTGTATTAGTATTTGGGTACATTTTTGCAAAACAAGACGAATAAATTCACTGACACGACCGTCAGAATTGACAAACGTCAAAATTCAAACCGTGCGGTAAAATCTCCGAAAAAATCCCATTGTTCCCAAACTCGTGCGGTAAAATTACAGAAATGTCCCAAGTGGCTCGAATCCGTGGGAAACAAAACTGACGCGATAAAGTGACGCTTCCCGCACGCTAGATCGGTGTGTAATTTGGCATTTTACAGACGGGAGTAGAAAATAGTATATTGTGCAACAAATGAGGTAAACGAGCGGAGCGTATCGGAGTGCAGCGTTCTTATATGCCATAATATGCACTAGAGTTTATTTCTTTACAATTATTATACCATAATGACAATAATATTTGCTCGGGCTAGCCAGCATTTTGGATTCGTTATTCGGTATTAGATAACAGTATATTATGCAACAAGTGCGGTAAACGGCATTTGACTCACGAGTTTATTTGACCCGAGCGGGGCTAGTGTTTAATAAACGAGTGAGTTAAAAAGTTTACCGAACGTGTTGCATACTATACTTTTTCTACGACCGTTAGTTTTTGCTTAGATTTTTCTCAAAGCAACACGAATACATTCACTGACATGACTGTCAGAATTGACAAACATCAAAATTCAAAGCGTGGGAAATATCTCCGAAAACATCCGATTGCTCCTAAACCCGTTCGGTAAAATCCCGGAAATGTCCGAAGTGGCTCAGATTCGTAGGAAACGAAACTGACGTGGTAAAGTAACGCTTCCCGCACGCTAGATCGGTGCGTAATTAGGTGTTTTACAGACGGGAGTAGAAAAACAATATTTAATTTACAAATGTTGGGTTTAAAGATTGGCATTTTTAACACGCGTATTGCCATTTCCGATAAAATCATAAGACCTATCTTACAAATAATAATTGATTAATCGACCATAAGACGTTTTTAGGGTAGTGCATGCTTAAATATTGCCAGATTTCTTCTACTACTTGCTTTCCTAATGTCTTAAGATCTAAAGTTTTTAGCACTTGATTGAAGTTGGTCAGTGATAAATTATTATTTGGTAAATATACTATAAGACCAATAAAAAGATTACAGCTTAGTTAATGTAAACTTAATATTAGTTAGATTAAAGATCTTTTATGATAATGGTCTATTCTTTGGAAAGGCGGGACGTCTTCTTCATAATATCCATTATTCGGTAGCTTCTTGGCGTCGTTTGAATTTTTCTAGTATTCACAGTTACGTTCTTTTTCTTAGAGGTGCAGATAATTTTGTTCTGATGTACCTCCATTATTTTTGTAGGTATGTGTTGGGCGTTCATTTTATTCCTGAGTGTGTGCGATAGAGAACTTGGTCGGGGTGTACATGAGGGGGTGTTTCAGAATCTTTATGGTGTTTTGACTCTGTTTTTGGTAGGTACTTTTGTAGACAGTTTGATTAAAGGGAATTAATTCACTTCTTCTTAGAAAGAGGAGAATAACCGGTTGTGGAATGAATATTTTTTATAGATCAATACGCCAGAAGTCATTTTTTTTTGGTGTTTCATTCGGGTTTTGCACTTTTAAAATACGCAACCTTGCTAGTAGGGTAGAACGTAATCTTTCTATTGGACTGTTAGAAGTTACGAAGAGTAATGTAAAATTCTTTGAATAAATTATTCTTAAATTGATCAGAAACAATTTTTATAGGGGTATTGTAGTAGGAAAAATAGTATCTAATCTTGTTCAAAATGGTAGCTACGTTTTATCTGTTATGAAGTATACTTGCGAATGTTTCGAAAAGGAATCTATAGTTGTTAGAAATTGGCAATTTGAGAAATGAAAAATATCTAGATGAACTGTTTTAATAGGTTTTTCTGCTAGTAATAAGCAATTTTATAAGGGTGCCTTTCAAATGCATTTTTAAGCAGATTTCACAAGAATTTATAATGTTAGTTATCGCGTTTCTCAATTTTCGAAAATAATATTTTTGTTTCAGATGGTTGTAACTTTCAGTGATTCCGTTATGATTAGACTGATGATGGTTCATAACAATTTATTTTTGTCGAGCAGGTTCAATGCCTGTTAAATATATATTGGACATGTTAAGTTTGGCCGATGGATTTAAATGGCATTTCATCATCCTTGGAAACTCCAGTTCAAGTTCAGGAATGCAAACAGTAAATAGATCGTCTGGTATAACGATTTAATGACTATAGGTATTTTGACAAAATGACGATTTTTCATAAGCGCTCTCGAATACGTGTGTTTGAATTGCTCTCCATAATCGGTTGTTAAGTGATGACTTGCGTAATTTACGAGTAATTCTGAAATAGGAAGGTCTTTCATGTCTAGGTAGTTATTACTATGAACAGTGACATCAAAATCGTTATCGTTAGGTATGTAATCTGGACTTTTGGTCTGGAAAGAGGTAGGAATTTGGTTCTTTTAACTTTGACAGTCATACTAGTGGGTTGTGGTCGGTCGACGACAAACTTTTGACAGTATAAATATGGACGAAAATGTTTAGTGGAGCTATAAAAGCTCTTTTTCAATGGTAGAATGTCTCTCGGCTGTATCGAGAGTGCACAAGTAGAAAGCTATAGAGTGATCATTTTGAGAGAGTAACCTGCCAATTGCTATATTCGAGGCGTCGGTAGTAAGCTTAAAGATTTCCAAAAATCGGAATACTGAAGGAAGTGATATTCTTGATTATTTACATCGACTGTGCTTCCAGACACTTACTTAATGGAAAGGTAATTTTCATAATAGCTTTAATAAACCTACGGCAATATCCTACCACGCCTAGAAATGCTTTTACCTCCTTTTCGGTTTTAGGGATTAGATTAGGTTACACCAATTTGTTTTTTTACAGCGATTGGTTTTAACAGCTTCTGGGGTTATTATGTGTCCTAAAAATCGAACTTCTCTAGAGAGAATTTCCGATTTCTCTGGTTTTTCAAAAATTATGTGAATATGGTTGATATGTTCAGAAAGAGAAAATTACGACGTCGTCCATATAAACAAAGCAGAATTTGTAGAGATATTCAATGAGAACTTGGTCCATCATGAGATGGAAGATGGCCGGTGCATTTATCCGATCAAACGGCATCCGGAGATCCTTAAAATGACCTTGATTTACTGTTTACGTTAATGAATGGATTTTAGATCCATTTTAACTTGATGCAATCCTTGGGTCAGGTTAAGGGCAAGATTGTCCAAGATTTCTTCAATCGTCGATAGAAGGTATTTCTCTTCGATGGTGACATCGTTAATGCGATGATAGTCGACTACCATGTCATACTTTTTCTTTCCAGATGCATCGACTTTGTTCGGGACTATCCAAACCGGTGTCAAATATGGCGAAATTGAAGGAACCATAATTTTATTATCCACAAGTTTTTAGATTTGAGATTGTATCCCTAAGTTCATGGAGTAAGGATGTCTATAAGATTTTGTATACATGGGGCGGTAATCAGTCGTTCGAATCGAATATTTTGGTTGGCTAGTTATGAAGTTATGAAGATATGAAGTTTCGGAGCTCTAAGAAAAAACCACAGACTTCGACATGACCATATTAAATTTCAAAAGCTATCACGCAAAAGTTTCCACCTTTTGACCTGCATACAAGGTTCTAATCTTAAATGTAACAAACTAAGCGGTCTATCACAATAATAAAAAATATAAATAAATATCAGAAACTCCAGCAGTAATAACATATTCATTTAACGTTCTATTTTAATGTTATGTTTTTTCCGCGGAAAGTTTTTTTGATGACATTTAGCACACATGTAGCAAAAATCAAAGAAGGAAATGAGAGAAGAATTGTTTGCCTATTTTCACCATAAAAACAACTAGATATAAGAGTGATAAATTAGGATGTCTATTCCGTTTCCGTTGTACTACCTTTTATGTTCAGGTCAGTTCAGAGTTCTGAGCAACTTCCTTAAGTATTTCTAAGGATCTATGTGCTATCCTTTAGACCGTATTCTTCTGAACTGATAACAAGTCTGCCAAATAGTACATATATAAATGTAAAGGGTTATTGGTGACCTCGTAGAATAAAAGGAGTTGGTCAGCTCCGGAGGACCAACGTTTCCTAGTGTACATAGAGTTATTTTGACAGATTTAGAAGTAAAACCAAGAATCCTACACTATCGCCTGGGCCGACAAAAATTTCATTTTCCTGTAGCTTATCCTAGAGGTCAATAGGTTGGCCCGAACCTCTACACTTATTTTAGATCTTCTTCTTCTTTTGGGGTTGGCGCCGCTACTAGGCAATTTGCCAGCTCTATTTAGAACTAGCCCAGATAATCGAGAATCTTCTCCTGGGGAAGTTTACTTTTCAGACTTCTGTTTCTATTTAAGAGGCATCTAACGTTGTTAAGGAGACAGGGTCCGTTAGTAGGCAGGTTCAGAGCTCACAAAAACCACAGACAAACAGGCAAGACTAACATCTAAAAACAAAAAAAGACAAACAATTTCCAGCACTATGGAACTTGGGACGGGCGTTCCTAGCCTAGGATGGACCATGGGACCAGGCTCGTCAGATCTGAGACAAAACAACAGAATAAAATACATACAATTTAAAATTCCCTAGTACTGTTACTAGAGAGAAGATGTCCGACCTCGACTCCTAATTTAAAGTTTTATCCTATTATAATCTAAAAAACATATGACCATTTGTATGATCTCCGCACTCGGGGTGCTTAACATATTTTCAACACAAAGTGGACAGTTAAGTCCGAAATTTCTAAAGTTTACGTATAAATCCACACCCGGGACCTTTGTTATAGGGCACTCGAAAAATATATGATTAAGGTTCTCAACCTTCGCAGAAAGGAGAGTCCCTAACCCCCATCCGGACCAGGTGTTCCCCCACCGCGCAGTGCCCAGTTCTCATTCTAATTATAGTAGTTATATGGCGTCTGTCTATGTAGGCAAGCTCAGAAAACCATCTTCTATTAGGAACCTTACTATATCTTTTACCTTTGTCTTGTATTGGGTTTTTGCACCGTTCTCGAAAACCATTAGTAATATCTCTAAGAATTGTATGTCCAGTTTGATATTCAAGGGGATGTTTAGGTCTTTTCCTATTTTAGCCAAAGTATCCACTTTTTCATTACCTTCAATACCCGAGTGCTCCGGTATCCAGGGCATCGTAACATCTACTCCCATACTTTTAGCCCTCATCATCATCTCTAGGACCTGTAGCGTTATGTAGTCCATTTTAGTGTCGTAATTTCTATTTGAAATTTTAGAAATCCCGCTTAGAGATTCTGATAAAATAATAACTTTTGTAAAGGCTCTTTGTAGAGCAACTCTTAGGCCCTCCATTATTGCTATCGTCTCTGCCGTGGCAATACACATTTCTTTCTGAAGTTTTGCCAAAAATTTATAATTAATATTTGGTATATAAACACCAAATCCAACCCTCTCACTAAACAACGTGTTTGGATATATTTCTCTACTTTCTCTCTAAAATGGGCTTCCACATTTTCTCTATTTATATTTACCTTAAGTGGTTCGATCGGGGCAATAGAGTTAACATAGTCTACGTTAAAGCACGGGAAAGTCGCACTCGAGTACAGTTTGTTACGGTAAGACAAATACATATTAAATGCCTGGGCCAGGTAGGGGGCACACGCTATTCTATCATCATCTCTATCTAAATCACCTCCTTACCTACTACAGTAATTTCGGAGATTATCTATGAGGTCTGTTAAAGGGTGGTCCGCAATGACTAGGACTCCAGCCAGAAAGGACACTGCCAGTTTTCTCCTCCTTGTATCTAGGTCCAGTTCCAATGCTTCCGCCAGCTAAACATTCGTTGGGGTTGACCTCATACATCTCAGCGCTATTCTCAAACCTTCAAAATGGATCACGTTAAGCTTGTTAAGTGCAGTCTTGTTATTGGAAAATGGAGCCATAATCTAGGTGGGAGTTCTAATCAGAGTATGAAATAAGGTCATTAAGATTTGCGCTGCACCCCATGAAAATCTACTTACGCATATCATTATATTAATTGCTTTCTTTGGTTTATCACAGCTATATTCCACTTCAAATGTTTTGTAGCACCACTCCTAAATATTTTACATGGTGCTTAAAAGCAATTTCCTTACTATCTCTTTTTATATTTAATGACGGGGCTCTTCTCCTACCTTTTGTAAACCAGACGGCTTCACATTTATCTTATTTTAGATAAATAGTACCTTCAGTTAGCTCACAATTTGGCAACGCTGGGCACAAACGTTCTAGACTCATTTGCTATTTGCTCAGGTTGCAAGTTAAACATATAAGTTGAAAAAAGATTACACAATTTGTTCCTACAAATTTTGATTCTGTGGAGGAACTTACCTACAAAAATTTTCGAAAATATCATTCTTATAAATAAAAGAAAAATGAATGAAACTTTTCACTTATTCCTGTAGTGATTTTAAGAAATTGCTTTGATATTAATTCAGTTTCTGCTTTATCGTACATACTTTTTCTGTATTTCTTCTACATGATGTTTTGTGTTTTGACCAAGATTATCTTCAGGGAGCTTTCTTTTTGTTTGGGTGCGTAATTTTCTATGAATAATACTTCGATAAGTCGAACTTCGATAACTCGAATTTTTGATAAGTCGAACCAAATTGGTTGGCAATAGCGTCAAAAATAGGAAATGTGTGTTAGTTTCTCTTGATTACTCGAACTTTGATTATTCGAATATCTTGATCACTCGAACGAGACATTTGGTGCCAACTTCGATAAGTCGAATTTTCTCGGGGGACCCAATAATTACGACCGATCTTAACCTGTCTTTTTAACGTATCTATGCAAACAGTTCAGTTTCTGTTCTTGCTAAGTTCACTTGTATGACTTACTGGTTAATACTAAGTGAAAAATGCTGTCTCTATTCAATTTACACATTATATTAAAGACATTTTTGGATTTTTGCATTTGTTGATATGTCATCGAAACGTACTTTAAAAGCTTTGTCTGTTGATCAAAAATTCAAGGTTATAAAAGAAGTGGAAAGTGACTCAAAAAATAAAGATGTAGCTGTGAAGTATGGGATTTCGGCAAGTACAGTGTCTACAATTTTGAAAAATAAACATGCAGTCATCATCGCAATGGACCGTTTCGAAGAAAACAAAAACAATAACATTACACTAATGGATTGTATTGACGATGTAACTATCGCATGGAAGCCTGAAACAATTTCCAATTGTTTTAAAAAAGCCGGTTTTGGTCAGTATTCTGAATGGGAAGAAGATGAGATTCCCTTGATTTTCCTAAGTGAACGCCTGAAAGAAAAGTGTGAAGACGAAATCCAAATAGAAATTGAGTTTAAAGCTTAGACAAACATTAGAGGTATAGCAGAAGGTAGCAACATCAACGATTTTATATATGTGGATGAGGATATTGTTACTTCAGAGTTTCATACTGATGAAGATATTATCGAATTTCGCAGATCCGAATCGGTACAGTTAAACATCGAAAATGACTGCGAAGGAGGAATTGGAAGATGATTCTCAGCAACCACCTTCAAATGAATTGGTTGAAAATTCGTTGATTGTCTTGCATTCCTATTTGAAAACCAGTGAATACACAACCGATTCCCTCTATGATTATTTAAATAAAATTGAAGCTTTTGTTGAAAACCAAAATAAGAAATCCGGTCGTCAGTCACAAATAACTGACTTTTTTCCAGTGAAAGAGTAAACTTTAATATGTACATATATATGTATTTATATGTTTATATATACTGGGTACATATACCAGACATTTTTATGTACATATATTATGTAAATACATACATACATATGTACTGCTCTTTCATAATTTTCGTGTGTCAAATCGCAGTTCAACTATATATTACTAGAGATAAAAGTATCCGAGTAATCTGAACTCCACAATAATAATGACAATTGCTTTCTATTCACTAAAGTAGACGTTTGATACAACATGGTGAGCCATAAATAGTTTAGCTTCTGAACAATTTTAGGATCCTTCTTATTTTCGTTTATACTTTTTGGCTTTTTTCATTACAGTAAGTGATCTTAGCTGTTTGAAATAGATCCTGAGGTAGCTCAAATAATCACAGTGTTTTAATTCCCTTATTGCATAGCAGAAAGTAAAAACCTTAACTGTACTGGATTTACATTTCCGTATATTTAGTTTCCGTTTCCGTAATATTAGGATATATTAGATAGTCAAGGTATAAAAAGAAAATTGTTTTTTTATTAATTACTCAATAAAATTTAGCACGCTCTTAGTGTAAAAAAATTGAGGGCTCCGATGATCCCCATCTAATATGTAAAATCAATTTAGTGAAGTTTATTTCTTGATTTAAGTATTCCATCAACAAGCAGACAAACGGTTTTTAATTTTCAACGAATTTTTCTTTTAGATTACTTACTAAGACGACTTCACGTTAACTTATCTTGATGGCACTGAAGGAAGGCCCGTATTGCGTCAAGCAATAGTATAAGTTTCATTAAAATGAAGCCAAGTATTAAGAACACGATTTTTAAAAACTTAGGTCAGCTGGTATGTATAAAGTTTGTTTGCTCAATTATTACAACTGTTCTCCAAGTGCCCAAGCGCCTCTCTTTGCGAGGCTCGTATAACGAAGCCTCATGGTTAACTTCAACCCTAAAAATGATTATGAAACAGATAAAGTTCTATCAAGTGATACAAAATTTTTCAAAGAAACTTGCACAGACTACTGTAATGCTTTTTACAAAACTTCTGGATTCCTCCTGCGTCGGTTCTTGCTTAGTCGAAATTGCTGACGTTTCGCCAATCATCCTGTTGGCTTCTTCAGAGCTTGACTGAAACTGTTTCAGTCAAGCTCTAATTGGCGAAACGTCAGCAATTTCGACTAAGCAAAAACCGACGCAGGAGGAATCCAGAAGTTTTGTAAAAAGCAAGTGATAAAAAACATGAAACACCAGAATCATGGGAACATTACAGACAACTCCGCAATTTTACAAAGACTTTAATTGAAAGAGAAAAAAAGCGTATATAGAATTGCGACAAAAAAACTCTTCATTATTTTACAAAAGTCTAAAAGACATGAACATCCAGAAAAATAAGATAAATGTAGAGATACCACCAAATTTAGATAATCCAGAAGAAATTAATCGTTTTTCGTCTCCTTGTTCGACAATAGTGATAACAAATGCGCATCAACCATAACTTTTTATAATACTAATTTTACTTTTCAATTTATTAAAAATTCTCATATTACCGAAATCGTATCAGAAATAAAATCTGGTGCTATGGTAGTGGACGGAATCACATTGGACATGGTAAAGTTATGTATGCCAGCAACTTGTCATTTAGTGAACTCGGATATTTCCCAGCTTTGTAGAAAAAGGCAATGGTCGTACCAATTCCCAAGAATACTAATACTAACTTCTTACAGATTCTGTACAAAAGTTGCTTCCAATTCACAAATCTGCTTCTAATAAAATACATAGCACGGTTACTCTCTAACTGCACTTGTGTGACGAAATCTTGAGAGCAAGTGACAAGTCTATGGCTACAGCTTAGATTCTTCTGGATTGCCACAGGGCTCAGTATTGGGCCCTTATTATTTTGGACTTATACGTCGGATATGCTTTTTGCTGATGATACCCAATTGTGTCATAGTTATCAGTGCGACCATTGTGCATATGCACTGAACATCATGAATAGGGATTTAGAAAATATAGCCAACTATGCGCAGGGCCATAATTTACGCTTAAAAAGTGTAATCTCATTATTTTTGCTCCTATGAGAAAGAAAGTCAACATCAAGTCAGGATGAAATTATATGTACAAAATAAACCTATTCAAGTTGTAGAGTATGATAAAAATATGGGTTTTATATTGATGTCTTTAAACAGTGTTATACGAGATTGAGATTGATGTATTTTCGTATAACATGCAAATCTTTGTCTTACTGCAATAATGCTTAGATACTGTGACCTCTTATCGGCTACAAAAAATTCAGAATACTTGTTGCCTTATTTCGAACTTACGCAAATTTGACCATATAACCGGAGCATTCAAAAATTAAAATTGGTTAAAAATGAAAAATGTTTTCAAGTACAAATTTTCTGTGCTCTTTGAAACGTATGGTAAATTCCAGCATTCCTACATATTTGCACGACAAATTGGTATTTAGGAAATCAATCCAAACTCACACAGTTGCCTTACATAGAACTACAATATTTAGATGTTCACGTTCTCAAATCAAAGCTTCCTGGTCCATGCAAAACTTAAATTGCAAAAATCAATTGTAAATTTATGTGTTATAAAAAGTTCTTCCTTGATGTGTGGTTTAAGGTACATATATCACTGTTTTATGCTTAATTTTACTTACTGCTTACTGCGTAGACTGTATTTAGATATGGGTTAAATGTGAGTGATTTTAAAGCCAGGCTTCGCCCATGTAATCTTGATAAAGACTATTATTATTACGCATGAAACTTTTTTTTTTCACGACATGAAAACCACAATTCGTAGTTGTGAGATTAGCAAAAACATATTTGCTTGAGCTTGAGTTTGCATTTTGCTCTTTTGCTAACCTTTTGATCTGGTTACAACCCTTTGAAAAATGTCACTGTCTGCGAAGGATTCTAAAAATGCCTTGGTATTTTTAGACTCAGAACTATTCGTATCAGTATACAGTTTTAGTTACATTTCATTACAGTATGAAATAACAAATCCAAAATGCGATAATGAAATCTCATAATACCATTTAGAACTTTTTTGGTAAGTGGCAGCTATCAACTTTTCTAAAATATCATAGATGAAGATCACCGAGATGAAGAGAAATTGGTGAATGCAATTACGTACTTTTTGTTTTCCTACTAAAGAATATTTCCTTTAAAAAATTGAAAATAAGGTCTTTATGTACTATATATTAACTTGCTATGGTCATTTAAAACCTGTTCAGGTAATATTTATTTTGTTCTCAATCTTTTACATTCTTGCGAGCTTTGAAAATTATATTCGTAAAAACCTCAAAAAAATCTAAGTTTAGGTACAGGGAATGTTTAATAAATTTGAAAGAGCTTTAATAGCAGTAATTGATGAAAGTATGTTGGGGTGTTTCGCTTGCATTCTTTCCGCTCCTTACTCACAGGATTTCACGACATGGTCTACAAAAATTATGCAAAAAGCTACTAATGCCCTTTGGATCGCTAAGCTTCGATAGGAGAGGGCGTAGATCGTGGTGGAGTCTGTATACCATACAAGGTCTGTTCAAAAAGTAAGGTGACTATTGTAATTGGTCGGGCTACGTACCTACATTCAGTCATCGATATTTTTTTTTTGTTATGTTGGTACACATGTTCCTAACATATGCTCACAGTTTCAGCGAGTTTGCACTTTTTTTTGTGAGACAGAAACGTTAGAAGTGTTTTGTGTGCTCGCCGATTTTCTGCTGTCAAAAAAAATTGAACAAAGAATTTGCATAAAATTTTGTGTATAAAATGGAATACAGTGCTGCACAACACTTCAAATGTTGACGACGGCATATAGTGAATATACTTCGAGCCAAAAAAATGTTTATAAGTGGTACAAGCCAAAATGGCTGAGAAGGCGCCGATAACGAACCTCATTGTGAAGCGTGTTGAAAAATCGTCGAATCACTATTAGAGAAGTGGCCAAAGACGTCGGCATTTCTATTCCGAAGTTTTTGGACATGAAACGCGTAGCAACAAAATTTGTTGCAAATCTACATAATTTTGAAGGAGCAACGCTCTAGAGCTGTTAAATGATAATCCTGATATGCTGAAAAAGGTCATTACTATCGACGAACGATGGGTATATGGCTATGACGTCGAAACCAAAGCTCAGTCGTCCCAATGGAAGAACCCAGAATCGCCAAGACCGAAAAAAGCACGTCACGTTCCATCAAATGTCAAGGTTTTGCTTACTGTTTTCTTTGATTATGGTGGCTAAGTATGCCAAGAGTTCTTACCATAAAGTCGTACGGTCAATAAAGAGTATTACCTTGAAGTCTTGCGCCGTTTGCGAGAAGCAATTCGAAGAAAATTCCCGGAATTGTAGGAAAACAATGGATTTTGCATCACGATAATGCACCTGCTCACTCATCGTTGCTTGTGTCTAACCTTTTGCCCAAAAACAAAACCGCAATCATGCCTCAAAAAGGTAGGAGGTTTGGAAAAATTGACGACATAAAGAAAACATCGGTGGAAAAACTCAATGCTATACCAGGAAGCGCTTACCAGCAATGCTTCGAGGATTGGCACAACTGTATTATATCGACCGTTTGTTGTGCAGTGAAGCGTAGGCTCCAGAAAAATGGGATGAGTTGAACAGAGTTTGGGAGCTTGAAATCAGGATTAAAGGTTTGCAACTTGCACTTTAAACTCCACTCAAAGTTTAACTAACCAAAACTAAAACGGCTTGGAGTTTATGCACTTTTAATCTTTAAAAACTAAACTTCGAGTCCCTTACTGACAAAATTTGCTCAATCATTTCAACCCTCTCGTGCAGCAACTGCCGTTGATCTTCTGGTACCGTTCCCGCTTTCAAATTTTTTAGCAAAAAATGATGGATGAACAGCCGCAAACTCTCCCTAAAGACTTTCAGCTTATCTGAATACGCCACTTTCTCGAACACACTCCGGCACTCTTCTGAATTATCGTGCAACAGAATTCCGAGTAGTATTTGACGGATTAACCTCAGAGTTATTTTGTCCAGTTCGCCAAATTCCACAATCTGAAAATTTGTCATAGAACGGACGGTATATTTCGTGAAAAGTTGATTACCTTTAAGGTGGATATTGGTAGACCTTTTTGCAGGAACAAATAAATCAACAACTTGGCCAGATTCGAAATTTGCTGACCCGAGTGATCATCGAGGGCTTTTAATTTATCCCAAACGGAGTATTTGATGGTCATCTAAAACGAAGAGCGTTTTTTTTTTTTCATATTGCGTAACATTGCACCCTACCTGGAACTTCCTATCGTAGTCGCAAAATTTCTGGGCAAGCACCGCGTAGTACGGGTTGTAGGTCTTTTCCTGCAGGCAGCAGTGGAGCAAGACGTGAATAATGTCCCGTTCCTGCTGATTTTTTAAGCCTAATTTTAAAAGCTTCTCGAAAGCGTCCAGATAATCCTGCAATATGCACAATTTTGTTTAATTTTCCTTATTTAAAAAAGCCTTTCGCGCAAATGGCTAGGACAATAACATGGGCCAACAATTGGTAAACTTTTGAAACTTGATTTTGATTTGACATTTGATTCTGTATAATTTAGTCCTTCTTTTCCCTCAATCATGTAAGGTTTTTTACCAACATTAAAAGAATAAATAAACGAAGATCTCGGTTAACTTCAGCATTATTTTTATTAGTAGACTAGGTTCTCGAAACATGGACTACTGTAAGGATATTTTAAAATAAAAGTAAATAAAAAATATCCTAGGGTTAGTTCTTTATTTCGATCAGTCAAGTCCTTCAAAAAATTTAATGAAATGAATAAACAGTAATTTCCTGAAAAACATTAAAATATTTTAAATTTTTAACAAAGTATTATACCACGGACGACTAGTATTTAAGATGGACCAAAATGATTCTTACATGCTACAACATTCTGCTTTTGTAAAAACTAGTGTAATAATAATAACAAAATAAATCAAAACCCAGTTTTGGCCTATAACATTAACGGCTACTATAAAACTTCCATATGAAAATGTCTTCTTCTACCTCAGAGCAATCTTCATGCCCATTGCGAGCAAGAAACACACTGAATCCATAATTCACCACAAGCATCCTCCAAAAATGAGTCATCACAATATAAACATGCTGCATTTTCTTGGGTTGAAGGTTCAGGATCTTCATTTGAGCTACCTTTCTCAGAACTGGACTATTCTCCTGATTTACAAGTTGTTTTCTTTGACTTTAGCTCCAAAATTTATTTTACTCTTTTATTTGTCTTAAGATTCTTTCCTTTTTTCCCCTTAAATGATTGCTCTAATTCCAGTTTATATGAGGAAGCTGTCAATAAAGCTGCCTTAGTAGCTGTTCTTCCAATGTTGCTGTTTGTTCTATTTAAACGAGGTATTGGACTAATATTTTCCGATGTTATAAAAGCGGGAGCAGTCGAAGGACCTGGAAGTAGATTTGGAATGAACGATTGATGTTCTCGATTTTTCGGATTTTCAGTTGGTACTACTGTTGCCTTTCCGTTATCCTGTGTGGAATGGTCATTATATGGTTTATCGTTTAGGGTTGTTTCAATAAAATCTTGATCATTAAAGACATGTGGATTAAGCTGATAAATCCTTGTTGTTCGAAAGCCACTGATAGCCAGTTCCGCATACTGGCTTCGAACATATGGACGACCAAAAATACTTGCTATGTCATAATAAGTGATAGCTCGGGCATTAACTCACATTAATACATGGATTTCTTCACCCATAAACGTTTTGTCCAGGCTGGATAAGTTAGGATGACGAGCCAGAAACAGCTTCAACCATGTTTTGCCTGCAGAATTACTTCGTCTTGAGTATGGGTTCCTTAAAATTGATGCGTACAGCTAAACCTAGTTTGCTCTATAGTAAGGATGTAATTTATGTCCCCATACTGATACTACTAGATAAACACTATTTTAAAGTTTTTTTCTTATATGCTTTTTACTCTATCTCTGGGGGGGCTCCAACATTTCCGGAAATAAACTCCAAAATGGATTTTAATAAACTTTGTGTCGTTATCTTATCTTGAATATTATGGACCTATGAAGCTACTTTTTCGATCATTGGTGTAGTTAATTTGCATAATATACATTATTGGTCGCCAGTGAATTCTCATTGCATGAGTGATATGAATTATCACGGAGTGTGAACGTCTGGAGTGATATTTTGGGTGATCGAATTGTAAGGCCATTGTAAGAGAACGGGGTCATCTAGGGGTAAAGTACGGGTAAAATACGAAAGCACGAAAACACGGAACAGACTTATTACTAATTTTACTAAGTTATGCGTGACTTTAACAAACAGTTACAAAAGAATGAACGAATGCGTGAAAACGAAAATAAAACTAAACTTCGCGTCCGTTACGCAGCGCCGTCGAACCGGAACTCGCGTGTCGGAATTCGGACTTGTCGCGACGTGCCGGGGTCCGAGCGGGATCAAGGGGTTTTTTTTATGCGTCTGGCCGTCTCGAGGCGTTGCGGTTAATATATAATGGCATCGGTGCAGTGGTGGTTCGCTACACCATCTTCTTTTAATGGTAAGGTTGTCCCCTTTATTAGAAAACATTCCTTCACAAACGAGAAGAGAAGCGAAGTTTGGAATTTTTTAGAGTAAGGTTGGGATAAAGATATGGAGATGCAGTTTTCACTTAGTTATTGGGCACTTGTTTGACTATCTAATGCGCTAATGGCGCAAAAAAATTCGTGTTTCACTTAATTTCTTTTTAGAAAACTATTTTTTTGCCATTATCTCAGAGAATGCCATCTGGTGGCAGGTTCAAACCCGTTTTAACGACTCCATTAAGCCATTGTGGAATTATTATTATTTATTTCCGGAAATGTTGGAGCACCCCCCCCCACCACTTTTCTATCAGAAATAAAGTAAAAAGCATCTAACAAAAAAGATTTGAATTTGTCTCAAACTTAAAACAGTGTTCACTAAGTGTCACTAACACAAAAAAAATGCAGAAAAGTGGGTTTAAAATTTAAGATTAAAATAATTTCTCTTGGCCGATTTACTTAATTTTTTTTCTAATTTAATTACAGTATATATATAACAGTTTTACTTTAGTGTTTTATCTCATACATTTTATTTTTTATTAATAATACATATTTTTTATCATTGCAAGTATTGATTATTATTTTATTGAGTAACCCTTTGTCACTTTTTATTTTTACAAAAAAATGCTTTATTAATTTCAGCAAGTTTTCTAAAATCCTTCCTCTTTAAGCTATTCTAAACTCAAATCCATTGGCAAAATTCGGGCTTCACATTTTGAGCGCTTACACCGAAAGTGGTAGATGATAGAAAATCTGGTTTTATTTAATCATAAAAAATGAAATTGACCTGTTTAAAGCTGTAGAAACTCCTTGCTTATACACAATTTTTACTTCTTACACCAACGAAAAGTTTTTAATTTAAAATAAATTATTTTCGTATGACCATAATAAGTACCATAAGAAATAGAATACCTCTGCAGACATGACAACACAAAAAATGTCTCTTCTGGCGTCCGTATTCATTCTTTGTCGCCGAGCCAGATCCAACAGTTTCTGCGAGAAGCTGTCCGATTTCTGCAGAATATCTTTCTTTTCGGGAGCATCTGAAGTTCCGGTCCATGCCGAACCAACTATCCACCACCGTCCCCGTTCTTCAGCTGAATAAATAATAATATTTATTTCGCAACAAAATCATACACAAAGTATCACAAAATTTAGCCTTATGGTTGCAGAAAAGAAGTTGAAAAAAATTACAAATAGTTTAAGTTCCCTGAAAGTAATATTCAAATAGATACTTGCAAAATCATTAACAAAAAATAAAATAAAAAAATCCTGGAGTTGAAAAAAAAACAAAAAAAACTAATAAAAAACATAAAAAGAAAACAATCATTCTTGAGCAGGTATTCTACAATCTGGGTGACGCAATGAGCGGACCGATTTTAGCTGTTGTAAAACATTTATTTTTTTAATGTTTTATTCATTTAATGTTATTTTTAATTTTTATGGTAAATATAATTTTGTCTAATAAAGCCTTTAAAAAACACTTTAATTGGGCATGGGCACATATTATGTGCCATTGATGGACCACAAACCACGACAAACAAAAATAAAATTATGTACTGCTTAACTTAAAAAAAAAAACAATTTTAACAGTATTTGACTTTAGGGACAATATTTTTTATATTTATATATAATTTTGCTAATAGTTACCAAAAAACATTTGTAATTTTGACTCACTCTGTGTAAAAGATTCAAATTTCAAGTATAGCATAAATAACAGTACTGCCAAAAATATAGTGTTAAACATTTTTATTGAAAAAATAGCCATAAATCCGAAAAACATTCAGTATAGACCATAACAACCCCTACAGTGTGTGATTATGATTATATGATATATGATTCACCCTGTATGTTTGAAAATAATTTTAAATTGTGTCTTTCAATCTCATTTATAACTTTTCTATTTAACATTCCTCTCTAAAACAAATAATAAACGAGATATACTTTGACACACTATTTGGACGCCCTGTAGATAAGATGGCTTCGATGGAGTAATAGATGTTTTTTCCAGCATACGCATGTTTATACGTTTATATAAATTTTATTTTGGATGACGAATCTCCCGAGGGGTAGGGGTAGGTTTTTTGAAACACCGCCGTATAGGTATAAAGGATCGAAAAAAAAATACCTTTTAGCAAATCGCCTAGGGAAATGTTCAGCTGCGTGACGTAATTGCCTTTTCTTATAAAACTTTTCATTATCTTCTTCAGGTGTTCGGAATACGACGGATCGTAATTCGGAATTTTCGCGACGTTGTTATTCTTTATCGCCATCAGTATTTCCAATAAAAATTTCACTCTAGAGCTGAAAGCGCAAATAATAATAAGCAATAAGAAAAAAGGACGATAACCAATCCAATAGGTAATGGATAAAAGCTTAAAACATGTGGTAAAATATATTGCAAAAGTCACAAATACCTCCTAAAGTAATTCACGGAGAATCGAGGAAATTCTTCTTGAAGGTTAGGATTTCGAAAAATTAAATTTGCTTGGGCGATTCAGAGTTGCCGCTTCTAACAATAACATATGGCAACCTCGCAATCTAAAATGTCATTTAATATGTTATTACAATTTTATCAATGTGCTTTAGGAAATATTAATTATCGTTCGTCCATTTTTTCCAAAATATGACATCGCAGTTTGCGAAAGATTTATCTACATAATTTACTCTATAATATACTGGGTCAGTTCGAATTTTTTATTGCATCCGTCCCTAAAAGCATGTTTTTTCAAATGGACCAACAATCTTTTTTTGGATATTGTGTATATTTATAACTTAGCTATATCACAGAACATGTTAACAGTTGTAAAGAAAATACTTATTGGTAATTCGGGATATGCCGCATACCGTGTGCATGTGCAAATACAATGCTATTTTTAATAATTTTTCAGAAAGCGCTCACGAGGAAATTAAACAATATCCCAAAAGAGTCAACTCTTGGTTCTGTGTTGGAACATTAATTACATTAATGACATGGAATATGGATTGATACTTTTGAGTGTCATTCAAAATGCCGACCTAGTATTGCAAATAAAATGGAGAAATTGGCAGGCTCTCAGTTTTAGAAATAAAATGGCCTCCAAGCGTGGCTCTAAGTTCCCTTCAAGGATCTTTAGGACAGTTTAAAATTCGCCAAAATATTAAACCTGTTGTTCAAGTAAATTTGATGAAATTCAACTTGCCCATTGGAGCCATCAACAAGTTACAGTATTCACTGGCGTAGTATGGGTCTCCAGTAACTATCACTCCTTTGCTGTGGTTAGTGACAATCTTAATCCCCACAAAATTACCTCTATTTTTGTCTGAAAATGATTCAGTGGTTAAGAAGTTGACATTTGTCCCTAAGTTGATTGGTGTACGGCACAATTGAAGAACAAATTTATATTAACAAATTTATGCTTCTGGGATCAAGATTTTGAGTGTGTGTGAAAGTTCTTCGCAATGTCCCATGGGAGAAAATTCAAGGTAGAAAATCAATAAGAAGAATATTAACGTGTTGTTTGCATCTAATATTGATATTGAACATCGTTATGTCATTGGAAGGAGTTAAATCTTGCCACTTGTTGAAGGCACTTTATAATCAAAGACTGTTAATGAGTCAAACCAGTTTGTGTTACTTGAAAATAGTTGCCATTAAAAAGTGTTCGATACATATTTAGGGTTAGAGCATCTGTTCATTTTTAATTTATTGTATTTTTTAAATTTAAAATTAAAAAATGAAGAAAGAGTATATATATTACCATTTTCATTTTGTCCCATCCATTCGTCCCGTCCATACCATAAAACAAAATTAAATAAGTCCTCAATGACAACTTTCAAAATTTAAATACGTTTTTAAATATTTATAAGTATTTTGAATTAGATTAGAGAAAAAAGGGTTAAAAACCCGACGGTTTTTGGTTGTGCCATCCATACTAAACATTGAGACCCTATAATATGGAATGAAACAATAAAATAAATTATTCCAAACTATTCATTTGAGAGCAGTATTATTATTATGAAATAGTATTCATGCGAAATAAAAATTATATTCTTATTCATTTCGAAATTTTATAATTTTCTAATGTTTAATGCTAATGATATGTCCCATTGATCCCCCTGAAATGGCCGTTTTGCCAATAATTACTTAATATAATATATATAATAAATGGTTGACCCACTTCAAATCTTTAGTTAAGTTGTATCAAAATTTTTAAAAAATTATGTATATCATAAAGCTCCTAGACTGCAGTAGAGATGAAATAAAAAAAAAACACAGTATATAGATATGCTCCAAGACTAACTATACTTACTTATTTACGCTCCCGCCAACAATGGTGGCCGCTTGTTTCTGCAACTCCAAAATTAAATCCTTTAGAGATATAGGGTCATCTTTGCGCAGGGCGAATCCGACACTACGCAGGACGTGCAAGATGCACTCCACGTTTTTTTCCTCGAAGTTGCCGGCCAATCGGTGCAAAATTTCGAAAAGCAGTTTACAATTGAACACTTTGAAATTGTACAATTGCGACAGAACATTGACCGTGTTATCGAGGCGTTTGTCTTCGACTTCTTGGCTTGACTGGGTGAGGTCGGCTAATTTTTTAACTACCGTTTGCAAAAAATGCGCACCTGTAACGATAATGCAAACAACTGATTAGTAGAAAAAACTGGTCAATCTGTTTGTGAAACGAAAGATATTTGGAATGGTGTAGGTGTGAAGTGGGCAAACCAATTGTAAAATCAGGTCTAACTAACATGTCTAGTGCAAAACTGCAAAATAACAAAGAACTGTTTCATCAAGTTTCCCTTTATTTATTGCTTGAAATGCTTCCGAACCGACTTCGATACAGTTTCAAAAGCTTCTCTTATCCTCTGTTTTAGATTCACTTTTAAGATAGGATTAACAAATAAGGAAGAAGTAAATGAAAATTATATTTGACGAAAATTCTGCATCTGATAAAGTTCAGTCAGAACAATTGTGCAATTACTTCATAGCATCACATCTTTATCTAAATTGACAGTACGAACATAACAGAATGTATTCTTACATTTTGTATTTCAATTTCTGTTGTAACCAATATCGTGATACAGTAAAACCGAACTAAATTGAGTATTACAATGAATTTAAAAAACACGGCATTCCATTTTAGATCGATACCCAATGGCATGGATGGCAAAATTTTCCTTTGAACTGTATTTCAAATGTAACCGCATGCTTAGTTGCTTCCTACTTTCAGCAAGAAATATTAAATACTGCTCATTAGAATACCATCAAGACATGTCAAATGAAAAATGGGCAAAAAAATCTCTTAAAATATCCCCACCAATGGTGGGGTGCAATGGTTTTATAATAGTTATCACAGCACTTTAGCTAATTGATCAGCAGCAAAAGAGGTATATTGCAAGAATTTCTTAGTCAGCATAACCTTTATTTTTATTTGATACAGAAAAACAACTAATTGAGGTTTTAAGAACTAAATCGTATGACAAAACTTATTTCGTGGACGACGTCATAAAAAAATATAACCATTAAAATAAAAAGGCTAATAGCATTGGTCATGTCCATTTATCGGAGTATACCATAAGGTTCCTTCCTTGGACCCCTGGCTTTACTATATTTGCGTCTTTAGTTTCCTAATTACTAGCCTTAAACCTCGATATTATACATTTGCCGATGATACATGATTTGTATACACAGAGGAAAATTAGAAGGAATTAGAAAAACTAATACATAAGGATCTTAATATACAAGGTGCCCAAATAGTGTGTCAAACTAATATATCTCGTTTATTATTAGTTTTAGAGAAAAAATTAAATACAAAAGTTATAGATGACTTAAAGAAACAATTCAAAATTACTAATAACATTTAATAGACAGGGTGAGTAATAAATATGTGGGAAATCAAACTGATATTTCTTTTAAATGTAGCACTCTGTATATGTTATTGTTCTATACTGAGTGTTTTCGGATTTATGGCCATTTTTTCGTCAAAAATGTCCTATATTTAAAACCCTATATATTTGACACCCTTTCCGACGGCTGTAATTTTATTCTGCCAACAAGTGGTAGTCATTTATCCTATACTTGTCTTGAATTTAGTTACTCCTTACTCATATTAATGGTTTTTCAATTTTATTGAGAATTCCCCATACCTAAAATACTAAATGTAAAGCAGAAATAATATACTAAATCCGAGATTTAAACAAAAATATAGGGATATTAAAAATGCAGTAATTAAATTGCTAATAGTTCAAGAAAATATTAAAAAAATAAGAATAAAACTGCAAAACAACAAAGAACTGTTTAATCAAGTTTCACTTTATTTATTGCTGGAAATGTCTCCCACCAACTTCGATACACTCAAAAGTTTTTCTTATCCTCTGTTTCATATTCTGTTTTGTTGGAGGAGCAGTTTTATACACCTGGTCTTTAACATATTCCCACAGAAAATAGTCCATCTTTGTTAGATTAGGAGATCTAGGTGGCCATTTAATCGGACATTTATTTCACAAAATTAAAAATTTACCTATTTAGTTCTATTTTTCTTGCCTTATTGCGATATTTTTTCATAATTTGACCAATTTTCTTTACTTTGTTCGAATTAATGTCTATACCTCAAAAAATACTAAGTTTAGGTAAAGAAGTGATTAATGGAAGTAATGGAAGGTGTTTCATTAGATTTTTTTGCGAAAATGAATATTTTAGCCATAAATCTGAAAACACTCGTCGTAGACCATAACACCCTATATTGGGTGATTGATAAAAAAAATGAATATTGAATTGAATATAGTTGTTTGCTTTCCCACATATTTATGAATTAGCCTGAAAGTTATTTTAAATGGTTTCTTTTAGTCTCATCTATAACTTTTGTATTTAACTTTTTTTTTCTAAAACAAATAATAAAGGAGATATACACTGATACACTTTTGGGACGCCATGTATATTACTTTTACTTAATACTTCTTGAATGACTATGGGATACTAAAATTTTCCACACTCAAAAATAAGTCCGAAATTTCTGGAAAATCATTTGTCTAGAAATCTCTGACATCTTTGTAGGTTGTATGGTTGCATAAAATCTGGTGTTGGAGGAATTCTAATAGTTGGTTGAGTGACCTGAGCAAAAATTTATCTCCATTATTTAGATAATGGATTCCCAATATTTATCTTACGAAGTTTTTGACATTTGGTAAAGGCAGACAGGAATATATCAAATAACAGATATAAAAATTTTACAATTTGGTTTTTGTCAATGTTACTCTGAAATAAATTTATGGTATGTAAAATCTTGCTTAAAAGTTAATATTTCCAAAAATAAATTATAGGTTTATCAAAAAAATAGAAATCATATATTTGGACAACCCAACAGTGTTGTCCAAGACTAACGACACCTTTTTAAGTGGCATAACAAAATATGGCATAATGATTATAAGCAATGAGAATTTTTTTGTTATAAAATACTGAACTAAAACAAAAGAGAAATGTTTCAGAAATCATTAATTATACAATGTCATTTTGAAATTTTCAGACAGACCCCTTCCTAATTACAGCAGTGACCTTAAAATTTAAAAAAAAATGCTTTCTGTTAGTCCATTTTTGTTAATTATACCCTCCAAGATATGCTTAGTAAATAGCAAATTACACAATAACATATACAAACTCAAAACATTGAATGTAATTAAAAATTATTAATTTAATTAATTTGTTTTCTTACCAACTTCTGCTCCAACATTAGCATGTAATACAACAACGAGTAAAACATGTTCCATCAGTAGACGTTCTGGTGTCAAAATATTTGACACCACAGACTCCAAGATCAACGAGGTTAGAGTGTCGTTCATATCGTTTCGACTGTTGTTCATATACAACTCTTCAGCTTGAGATGATATGCTGTGCATGTTACTTTCCGCCAACCTATTTAGAAGACCCTTTAATTGCTTTCTAAGACGATTAAGCTTTTCACTTCTCTTTTTGTCTTCTGACTTGGAAAATTCATCTCTAGCTCGTATTGCGGGTGGGACATATTTCTCCTCATTAGTCTATCAAACAAAAAACTTCAATAAATGTTTACAACTGTTAACAACTACTCACACTAACAATGCCCCCATCTTGTGATCTTAATCTTCCGTAGATATCCTCCCAAGTTCCGTCCGTAGGAGTGTTCTCAACTGCCTCTAATTCCAAATTATTATCTGAAGCATCACTATCACTATTTCTAATTTCAGTTTCCACTTTCCTTTTCTTAGCAGTGATCTTATTTTGTCTCTTATTTCGTTTTATATTGAGACTTTTCCCAGTATTTAAAATATTTGTGTCTTTTTTGTCTTTTTGAAATATTTCACGAGTACTACTTTCTTCCTCTGAATCAGATTCACTGCTTTCATTTCCAATTTCCAAATCCGACAAATCTTCTAAAGAATTATCATTTGAAAATATTTTGCTCCTACCATGATTACTTGTATTTGTATGTTCAGTCATTAAAGAGAAATCCTCTTCAAATTCTTCGTTAACTTTATCTAGCTCATTTTCCGCGGCTCCCGCTTTGGAAATATATTCTGGATTGCATACTTCGAGAAGGTCTAAAAGCAAACAAATTAAATTAACACTTGATAAAATCAATACTATAACAACTCTTACAATCTAACCCATCAGCAGCAAAAGATTTTGGTATAGATTTCGATTTCCGTTTATGCAACTTTAACTGTTTTTCCAATTTTTTAATTGTTTTATCTTCTTTCAAGTTTTCTTTGACTAACAATATTTTCCTATTTTTCCTCATGTCCTTTTCTAATTTCTTTACTTGTTTCTGCTCTCGTTTGTGCTGTTCTTCCATATTCAATTCCTTATTAGCCAATAATTCAGTTACCTTTTGTCCAGGCACACCGGTATCAGAACCTACTCTTGATTTATTGGTTTCCGTTTTGAAGTGCTGCACACTATCCTTCATATCCCCGTTTTTTGAAAATCGTTTTAAGTTATAATCATTTCGTTTTGCTTTCTTTTCTTTCCTTTTTTCCTTGCGAATCTGTTTTCTGCTCAATTTTCCTATATTAGGTTTTTTCTTATGTTTAGCACCCATATCTAATATTATTTGATTTGATATTGGATTATTAGAGAGGTAATTTTTGAAGAAAAACTTTCCGTTTCCACGGTAAGAAAAATTTTGGAGAGGCTAGAGAGGTTCTGCTTCTTCTTTTTAAAATTAACCTACATTAATAAGTCCGCCAAGCCAAGGGATCTGACCACTTTCCAACTTTGGTCGTATTTTAGTAGAATATGAACGAATTCTACTAAGCTTTTCCAAAAACACACCAAGTAATGATGTCGTCAATGAAAAAAGCAGAGACTTTTTACCAATTAAAGAAAATAAGAAGAATTATAACTTCGCAACACTAGTGGGAAGAGTGGGTGGCAGGTTGCTCCGTCAATTGTTTACTGTTGTATAGCTCGCAAAAAGAAGAATCCTGCCTGTTTTGGCAGCCAACACTAGTTTATCGTTCGATGCTGCCAAGTCTTTATTCAATCGGCTAGTGAAATACCGAGTAACATCTTATTCATGACGAAAAGTGCTCGCACCTCTCATTACAGATTTTCAATCTTTTCGCCATCTAGCTATGACCTGGAAAACTAAAATATTATTATTTATATCATTATAATTGTATAGAGGCAACCAGTCATCAGACATTCTCGATATTGTCAAAGCCTATTCTAAAGGAATGCCAAATAGCGTAAAAATAGTATATTATGCAACAAGTACTGTAAACGGCATTTAAGTAACGAGTTTATTTGACACGTATTAATTATGTGATAGAATATGCTGATGAAATGCTAGCTTCAGTATTCCCGGTATCTGCGACGCGACGCTTGCATAAAAACTTTATATATATAACAACTCTGTGCTTTGCGTCCAGTTCTCCTTGTAGCGGGTTAAAGAAAACCTCGTAGTTCTATTTGTAAAATAAAAAAGTGTTTTTTAAAAACGAGATCCTTCGTTAGAAAACCTTAACTGGCGCAGTCGTGACGGATTTGGGGTAGTTTTCGGTCAAAGCCACGTCATCGGGACGATTTGATCGTGAAACGTGGGTTTCAACCCTTAGACTCCAAAACGAACCAGTGATAGACTGTCTGACAAACCCAACGTGATTGAGTTCGACTGAGGGCAAGGAAGGCAAGAAATCACCCCCGCAAGCAGTGCTACGCAAGGAAAATTCCAATAGGAAGAATAGGCTGACGACTAAGAGAAATCAAGGTTAGTGCCCAAAATTCCTATTGTTCTCCTTTCATCTTCCCTGGTTAGGACGGTGGAAATAATTTAAGGATTCTTAGTTTTAAGTTCAATTTTAAGAAATTTCAAAATCAATTAAATTTATGAACGAAGATAAAGACGTCGACAATTTAAGTGCGTTTTTTACTTCGTTAAATTTAGTGGAACAGAAAGTAGAGAACAGTCAAATCAATTTGAAAATGAATTCTAATCAATCGTCGAATTCAGGTGTAAATTACACTTTGTTAAAAATGTTTATAGATAGTATTCTGCCATATAATGGTGATTCCAACACTTTAAATAGTTTTCTATCAGCTGGAGATTTCCTTTTTGATACATATGGTCAAGGAAACGACGAAATTTTAAAACAATATTTGTTAAGAACTATTAGAATGAAACTTGTTGATCGCGCACAAATTCTAGTAGGCTGTAGAATGGAGTTAGTAACGTGGGACAATATTAAAGTAGCTTTGTTAAATTGTTTTGGCGATAGACGAAATTTAGAATGTTTAGAACGGGATTTGTTTATTGCCACCCCCTTTAAAAATGAACATCCTTTAGATTTTGGGAAAAGATTACAAGTTTTAAGAAGTATCCTTGCTCAAAAAATTAATGCATTTCCTGCCGATACTATGGATAATGCAAGCAAAGTAATTCATTTACGTCAATACGATCAAATTTGTTTAAGGACGTTTATTAGGGGATTACCAGGACAATTACAAAGTATTATAAGACTTAAAAATCCGAGCTGTATAGAAATAGCTATGACCCAAATTATTGAAGAGGAAAATTTTCAATATACACAAAATATCTTCAGAACTCCAATTCAATTAAAAGTTTTGCCTAATACTTCTATCGAACCCGTTAAACAATTTTCACAAAATCCAAATTATTTTAGTAACCAAAATTTTAATTATGTACAACCGATTCGCCCTACAAATTATTTTCAAAACAATAATCACCATAATCAAAATTTTAGAATTAGGCATGATCAAAATCAGTTTACTCCCCAGACTAATAGTTTTCCCAGAGGTCCAATTAATATGCCTCAACCACGCGAAGTTCCAAGAAATTTTCCTACAAATAGGCAAGTTTTTGGCCCACCTAAGAACGTATTTAAACCGACAGGTCAGGTACCTAACAATAAACCCGAACCTATGTCAACAAGAACAAACTATACTATACCACGTCAAAATAATCAAATTAACCATTTCAAACCTACTGGCCCTAGAAATTTTATTTCTCGAGAATTATACCAAATCGACGAAAGTAACGCGGTACAAACAGATGAAACATCTGCGGTATTTCAAAATGAAAATATTCACCAAGAGGAATACTCTGAAATTGAATTTTCAAATCAAATTGAATACTTTAATGACACTCAAAATTTTGACGAACACCCTGAAATTGAAAATCAAATCTCTCAAAATTTTACAATAACGAGCCAATGCGACTCAACGAAATGACATTAGAAATGTATACCGAAATTAATAATAGTTTACCGTACATCCAGATTAAAGAACCCGCAATTAAACTTTTAATTGATACTGGTTGTTTTCACTCGATTCTTCGACCTTCCATTGCAGAAAAATTTTATTATGAAAAAATATATCATTCCCCAACTATTATTAAAACAGGAACTGGTGAAAAGGAAACTCTATTTAAAGCAGATATTCCGGCTTTCCCAGAATTAAAATCTAATACCAACCTATCTTTTATTCTTTTTGACTTTCATAAATTCTTTGACGGTATAATAGGATTAAACGACCTAAAACGTTTTAATTTTTCTATCGATCTTGTCAATAAACAATTAAGGAATAATACAACTAATATACCAATTTTATTTAGACAACCACAAAACGAAATATATTGTATTACTGTGAATGCACACGAAATTGTTAACGTAAGAATTCCAGTAACACAAAACAATGATGTTATTATTCCCGAGCAAGTCATTGAAGGTCTCTATTTTCCAGAAACACTTACTACTGCAAAAAACGGTTTTGCGCAAACAGAAGTTTTTAATTACACTGAGAAAAATATAACGTTAAATTTCCCACAACCTCTAAAAGTTTTATCTTTTCCGGACTTTCATAAAGAAAATTTTGAACTTTTTAATTTAGAACACATCTTACCAAAACATAAAGAACAATTTAGTAAATGCGACATTTCCAAAATAATTCGTTGCGAACATTTAAATTTAGAAGAAAAATCTGCTATAATAAGGCTTTGTAAAGAATATAATCATATTTTCCATCATGAAAACAAAAAGTTAACGTTCACCAATAAAATCAAACATTGTATAAGAACAACGGATGAATTGCCTGTATACACTAAATCATATAGATACCCCTTTATCCATAAAGAGGAAGTTCAACGGCAAATTAATAAAATGTTAGACGACGGCATCATTAGACATAGCCAAAGCCCTTGGAGCAGCCCCATTTGGGTAGTCTCGAAGAAGCCTGACGCCAGCGGCAAGCAGAAATGGAGGATTGTCTGTGACTTTCGTAAGGTAAATGAGAAAACGATAGACGACCGCTATCCATTGCCTAATATAAATGATATACTCGATAAATTGGGACGGTGTAATTATTTTTCAACTATCGATCTTTCATCTGGTTTTCATCAGATCGAAATGGATCCGGAATCAATTGAAAAAACAGCTTTTAGTGTCGAGAATGGTCATTTTGAGTTTGTTAGAATGCCTTTCGGATTGAAAAACGCCCCCGCGACATTCCAGAGCGTCATGGATAATGTTTTGCGTGATGTACAGGGAAAGGTTTGTCTAGTATACATGGACGATATCATAGTATTTTCGTCATCCCTAGAAGAACACATCAAACATCTTAAACTTGTTTTCCAAAAACTGCGACAAGCTAGACTAAAAATTCAACTAGATAAAACGGAATTCCTACGAACCGAAGTAGAATTTTTGGGTCACATAATAACAAAAAACGGAATTAAACCGAATCCCAAGAAAATTATTGCAATCCAGAAATTTCCTGTACCGAAAACAGCAAAAGACATAAAATCTTTTCTAGGCCTTCTAGGATACTATAGAAGATTTATTAACGGATTTGCAAAACTCACCAAGCCATTCACAAATTGCCTAAAGAAAGGAGCGACCATCAAACACACGCCAGAATTTCTAGAAGCATTCGATCTTTGTAAAAATATCTTGTGCAATGATCCAATACTACAATATCCAGATTTCGAAAAACCTTTTATATTGACAACGGACGCCTCTAATGTTTTTATAGGAGCGGTTCTCAGCCAAGGAAAAATTGGTAGTGATCTTCCCATAGCCTTTGCCTCTAGGACATTGAACCCGGCTGAAAGCAATTACTCAACCATAGAGAAAGAATTATTAGCAATCGTGTGGTCAACAAAATATTTCCGACCATATTTATTTGGCCGAAAATTTGTGATAGTTACCGATCACAAACCTCTACAATACCTGTTTAATATGAAAGAACCAAATTCCAGATTGCTAAGATGGCGACTAAAACTGGAAGAGTTTGATTACACAGTTCATTATAGGAAGGGCAAACTGAACACTAACGCTGATGCCCTATCACGCATCGAACTAAATATGATAGATAAAGAGTCACTTTTCGGAAATCCTGGAGATATTAATGAAGATATCGATAAATACATACATGAAGAAGATCAAAATATAAGCCTTGAACAATTGGAACAAATTGAAGACGTGTTTAACCCTCTAGAAAATGTAAACACTCCAAAAATTAATATCATCTCGGACATTCAAATTAAACCGCCAAATATTCCTAATACTGGTAAGACAGTACACTCAGCAGCTGAAGATCCAATATTAAATATACCAATTACCGAAAATATTTTAAATACTTACTCTAATCAAATAATATTTAACCAAAAAACAAACGGTCGTTAT